ACGGAATCAAGAAACACACGGAATCAAGGCACACACGGAATCAAGACACACACGGAATCAAGACACACACGGAATCAAGAAACACACGGAATCAAGACACACACGGAATCAAGAAACACACGGAATCAAGGCACACACGGAATCAAGACACACACGGAATCAAGACACACACGGAATCAAGAAACACACGGAATCAAGACACACACGGAATCAAGAAACACAAGGAATCAAGGCACACACGGAATCAAGACACACACGGAATCAAGAAACACAAAGAATCAAGACACACACGGAATCAAGAAACACAAGGAATCAAGGCACACACGGAATCAAGACACACACGGAATCAAGGCACACACGGAATCAAGACACACACGGAATCAAGACACACACGGAATCAAGACACACACGGAATCAAGACACACACGGAATCAAGAAACACACGGAATCAAGACACACACGGAATCAAGAAACACAAGGAATCAAGAAACACACGGAATCAAGGCACACACGGAATCAAGGCACACACGGAATCAAGACACACACGGAATCAAGACACACACGGAATCAAGACACACACGGAATCAAGACACACACGGAATCAAGACACACAAGGAATCAAGGCACACACGGAATCAAGAAACACACGGAATCAAGGCACACACGGAATCAAGGCACACACGGAATCAAGACACACACGGAATCAAGGCACACACGGAATCAAGGCACACACGGAATCAAGACACACACGGAATCAAGACACACACGGAATCAAGACACACACGGAATCAAGACACACACGGAATCAAGGCACACACGGAATCAAGGCACACACGGAATCAAGACACACACGGAATCAAGGCACACACGGAATCAAGACACACACGGAATCAAGACACACACGGAATCAAGACACACACGGAATCAAGACACACACGGAATCAAGACACACACGGAATCAAGACACACACGGAATCAAGGCACACACGGAATCAAGACACACACGGAATCAAGACACACACGGAATCAAGACACACAAGGAATCAAGGCACACACGGAATCAAGAAACACACGGAATCAAGGCACACACGGAATCAAGACACACACGGAATCAAGACACACAAGGAATCAAGGCACACACGGAATCAAGAAACACACGGAATCAAGGCACACACGGAATCAAGGCACAGACGGAATCAAGGCACACACGGAATCAAGACACACAAGGAATCAAGGCACACACGGAATCAAGAAACACACGGAATCAAGGCACACACGGAATCAAGACACACACGGAATCAAGACACACACGGAATCAAGACACACATGGAATCAAGACACACACGGAATCAAGGCACACACGGAATCAAGGCACAGACGGAATCAAGGCACACACGGAATCAAGACACACAAGGAATCAAGGCACACACGGAATCAAGAAACACACGGAATCAAGGCACACACGGAATCAAGGCACACACGGAATCAAGACACACACGGAATCAAGAAACACACGGAATCAAGGCACACACGGAATCAAGACACACACGGAATCAAGACACACACGGAATCAAGGCACAGACGGATTCAAGAAAGACAAGGAATCAAGACACACACGGAATCAAGGCACAGACGGATTCAAGAAAGACAAGGAATCAAAACTCAACTCAAGACATTGTCAACTCAAAACTTGTATGTCCGAGTCATACAATGACTCGGACAGAGATAAAAAATTTAAGCAAAATTAACGTAGATATATGACCGAACCTAACTTGTTTTTAGGTTTTTCTACCTAACCTACCTAACCTAACCTAACCTATCTCTGTAGGTTAGGTTCGGTTAGGTAGCCGAAAAAGTTAGTTTAGGTTAGGTTAGGTAGGTTAGGTAGAAAAACCTAAAAACAATTATTAGAAAATTAGAAATTACAAAAATTAGAAATTTAGAATTAGAAATTACAAAAATTAGAAATTTAGAATTAGAAATTATTAGTTTATTAGAAATTAGAAAAATTAGAAAAATTAGAAAAACAATTAATTCATGAAAACTTGGCTTATTAGGCAAATTGGGCCTTGCATAGTAGGCTGAGAAGGCTACTAGGTACGACATATATATATATATCATATATATATATATAGAGAGAATATATATAGAGAATATATATAGAGACATATATATAGAGAAGGGAGTACCACCTCTGGCTGGAAGAAGGGGGACCCATAGCCTCGGAGGAAACCACACATAACGCATTGGAGGGAATGTGGGTCCCCTCCAATACAGTTTCTGTGTGCTTTTCTCCTACCACCCCCTTCCCCTTTTTTTTTTTCCTTTATTGTGTATTTAAAGGTTACAAAACATACAAGACAAATGCCTAAAGGTTATGGATCTCTTGAAGCTCCTCCGCTTCTGGACAGGAACCGAGGACGCAGCAAGCATTTCCCCTCTGGATCGCCACACTGAGACGCTGAAATAAAAAACTGGAAGCCCTTGGGTCTCTGGTGACGTCAATGAGCTTGGACCCCAATTCCTTGAGAAATCCCAAGGCACTCTTGCCCCAGGGGCCATGCGTCTCAGACGCTATGGGAACAAAGAGGTATTGACCTTCCAGTCGCCTGTACTTGAGTGATTTTGCTGTTTCCCTGTGGTTGGCCGCCCCACCTGCTTGATCAGCTCCGAAGTGTACATAGGTGTCAGCCAGGGTGGATACACATGTGTAGTCCCACACCAACTGTCTACCCTCCTTCCATGAGTATATGGTGATGCCATCAGGGCGAAGTGCTGGGAAATCCGGGTTTTGGACCCCTAGGATGCGAGGTTCTCTCTCCGCTGGGCACCTAGCTGAGACGAGGCTTCTCTTGATGATGTCATTGACCTCGTTGTGTCTTGCATGCCAGCCCTTTGTGCTTCCGCAATGCAACCCATGCAGTCCGTATTGGTCTGCTTCCACCCTGTTGCAAATACACTTGTATTCAGTGTGAATTGGGGCACCAAGGCGGAGGGCCACTGCTACACGAAGGGATTCTGGATCTAGGCGCGTGCCCATTGCAGACATGGGTACTGCCAGGAGGAAGTCTCCTGCATGGGGGGCCCGCACTGCTATGAGGCGGGCTTTCTCCTTGTCTGATGTTGCGACGCTTAGCATGGCATCAGCTACTTTTTCCACTAGAGGGTGGTCCCAGCCGGACTGTTTGTGTTGTTTTGTTGGCTCTATAATGGTTGCTGGGGCTGCAAGAACATTCCACTGATTTGAACATTCAGTGAAAGCAGGATCGTGTATTCCTGCTGAATCTCTCAGGGTTGCAGGTAAAATATCTCTGACGAGGTCGTGCGATGCATGAGAGGAGGAAAGGAAGGCTGGTAGAGCAATTTGGGAGGCTGTGCGGACACCAAGGCCGCCGAGTCTTACAGGAAGGGTTGCTTGCTCCCACTGAGAGTCGTCCAATGGCAGGTTCAGGACTTTCACCAGCATGGACCTTAGAAGGGTGTCATACACATTTAACTTAGGGCTGCTGTAGGATGGAGAACATATATATATATATGTATATATATATATATATATATATATATATATATATATATATATATATATATATATATATATATATATATATATATATATGTCGTACCTAGTAGCCAGAATGCACTTCTCAGCCTACTATGCAAGGCCCGATTTGCCTAATAAGCCAAGTTTTCCTGAATTAATATATTTTCTCTAATTTTTTTCTTATGAAATGATAAAGCTACCCATTTCATTATGTATGTGGTCAATTTTTATTTATTGGAGTTAAAATTAACGTAGATATATGACCGAACCTAACCAACCCTACCTAACCTAACCTAACCTATCTTTATAGGTTAGGTTTGGTTAGGTAGCCGAAAAAGTTAGGTTAGGTTAGGTTAGGTAGGTTAGGTGGTCGAAAAACAATTAATTCATGAAAACTTGGCTTATTAGGCAAATCGGGCCTTGCATAGTAGGCTGAGAAGTGCGTTCTGGCTACTAGGTACGACATATATATATATATGTATATATATATATATATATATATATATAATAAATGACGATATATATATATATATATATCGAATTTATATATATATAAATGACGACCAGATCACTTATATATCACTTATCTTATATCACTTATCACTTATATAGCCTTATCACTTATATATATATATATATATATATATATATATATATATATATATATATATATATATATATATATATATATATATAAGTGATAAGGCCTTCATCTGGTCCTCATTTATCAAAATAACCTAAAGAGACAAAGAGAATAGAGTTGGCAATGTGTAAATAAATCTGGCCACCAAAAATAAAAGTGACAACTTCTGCCACCTGTGGAAGAAGTTGTAACGTGTTCACTATTTTCGAATTTCGTTCTTACTTCAAATGTTTAGTGCCGGAGATACATTCTCAAAGTCGTAGAAGTGACAATAAAATCTACATAGAAACAAAGGAGAGAGAAGAAAAAAAAAAAAAAAAAAAAAAAAAAAATGATTGTCAGCTTTTTGTATTAAGGGACATAAGAAATACTGTCATTGGGCAATGTATTTATATCATATATAATAAAATACAGCATAATAACATACTACCTCATTATTATGTGTGAAATCTTGCCCTCTGGGTGGCACCAGCTGCATATCCACTTTGGCGACCCTCCTTACTACAACCTTTCTTCTTTGTGCGTCGGACAGGTGCTTTCATCTCTTTAGCCCTGATTTCCAGTAAATAGAAGGTTTTATCGTTATTCTCAGTTCTGGTTGCCGCATTTATCTTTAAAAAAATCGTTAAAAAATCAATTACTTAACATATTGGGATAAAATTTTCACGACGTTGATACCAAATAACGGTAGATTAAAAAAAATCACTATATTTCATATTTGGAAAAATACTCCTATCACCGGGGCCCTTAAATTATAGAATTAGGCTCTGTCAGTGTATTGGAAGTATCTTTTGCCAGGTTATAATCAAACACGTGTTCTCTTGTGATATTTATTAACTAAAGAGTAGCTATGTAAAAATCTAAGTAATCGATGTATACAATGCATAGTAACCCTGGACCCCTGGGGTAGGCAGACTGCTGCAAGGGGCCACATGGTGTTCAGAGGGAGTGTGAACTTGTGACCTTTGGTGGTGACCTTGTGGCCTCTGATGGTGACCTTGTGGCCCCCTGTTGGTGACCTAGCGGTCTATGGTGGTGACCTTGCGGTCTCAAGGGAACAGAATTCTATAACTTTTAGGGAACAAAATCATTGTGTCCTCTAAGGAGATATGACCAGGAGATTTATTAGGGAAAGACAGGAATAGAAAGACCTCTGAAGCAAACAAGGTATGGTGAAGGAACTTTGGGATGAAAGAACTTTGTGATGTCTAGACAATGGGGAACGTATGTCAGCCTTAAAGTCTGACTAGCATCAAAACTGACTGACTAGCATCAAAACTGACTGATCAGCATCAAAACTGACTGACTAGCATCAAAACTAACTGATCAGCATCAAGAGTTGACTAGCTCGTGTATTCACTTGATCAACAGTTAAGTAGTTATCGTGACTAGCAAAACATTACCAGAACAATGTGATATGTCACTATAGCGGTTCAACACGTCATTATAGGTCTGGATGGTGACGAGGTAAGGATAACAAGAGGGTGAGGGCACACACGATTTTATCTTATCAGGAGTCGTGACTGCAATCGGCTAAGGTACAATCAGAATTACAAGCCTTACTGGGTGATTGTAGTAGGCACCAAATGTTAATATTTATGAGTCACAAAACACAAAAGGCCAGCACGAGGGATGCTGAAGCAGAGCTTATGACTTGGGATAGTTTACTGCCACCTACTGTTTAATTGCCCAAATGAATAGATGATTATACAAACGGTAAACATTAATCGTGAAATGTCCGGTTTTGCCATCCATAGTTTTGGAACTACCGACCTTGACATTTACTGCCTCGATATGCATGGCCCAGGCATATGTTTTTAGGTACCAAAGACCGAGGTTATGGCAGCACTGTTCCTGAGCCACAGTGGTAAAACATGCAGTATATATATATATCATAACAGGATCCTAAAATACAGAAACCATGCTTTTTTAACAGATTATTCATGATAGACGATATATATCACTAGTTGGACTTATTAAAACACAACCTTCATAAAAATAATACATAGTATTCACAGTATTCGCTACTAAGGCCTCATTAAATTATGATTTGGTAGTATCCCCGACAAAGATCAGATGCGAGTGGGGAGGGGGGCGGCAGTGAAGGCCTACAATGTGGCCTGCAGGTCCCAGTACCCTGTGAGAGTAATACCAGCCTGCAGGTTACGGTACCTTGTGAGAGTAATACCAGCCTGTAGGTTACGGTACCTTGTGAGAGTAATACCAGCCTGCAGGTTACGGTACCTTGTGAGAGTAATACCAGCCTGCAGGTTACGGTACCTTGTGAGAGTAATACCAGCCTGCAGGTTACGGTACCTTGTGAGAGTAATACCAGCCTGCAGGTTACGGTACCTTGTGAGAGTAATACCAGCCTGCAGGTTATGGTACCTTATGAGAGTAATACCAGCCTGCAGGTTACGGTACCCTGTGAGAGTAATACCAGCCTGCAGGTTACGGTACCTTGTGAGAGTAATACCAGCCTGCAGGTTACGGTACCGTGTGAGAGTAATACCAGCCTGCAGGTTACGGTACCTTGTGAGAGTAACACACAAGCCTGGCCCCACCTTTCCTACCTACTATTCACACTTGTCAATATCTTAAAAGACAACAAACTGTTGACAAGCTGAATTGCTTCTCAAGCCAGGAAGATATTTTAAGTCTGAATAAAAGTTTAGGTTTAACAAGTACTTAGGACAGGAGTAGCATAGCACAATGAACATTAATTATTGCTTCTCTAATTACACATTAATTTGTTCATGAATTGGAAATGGACTATTAAACAACTTAGTCTTAATCTGCAGATGAATTTTACTTTTCAGCATTTTGTATTATTGCTGTCTAGGTCTCCTAATATATATAGTACTAGTACTTTAAATGAGAAAAATATTAATGATTCTCATTCAATTAAAACAATTACAATATATATATATATATATATATATATATATATATATATATATATATATATGAATGAAAACTCACACCCCAGAAGTGACTCGAACCCATACTCCCAGAAGCAACGCAACTGGTAACTACAGGGCGCCTTAATCCGCTTGACCATCACGGCCGTCAAAAGGAAGTGATAGCCGAGGCTATATGACGGCCGTATGGTGTTCCTTTTGACGGCCGTGATGGTCAAGCGGATTAAGGCGCCCTGTAGTTACCAGTTGCGTTGCTTCTGGGAGTATGGGTTCGAGTCACTTCTGGGGTGTGAGTTTTCATTCGCATATAGTCCTGGGGACCATTCAGGCTTGTTCGCATATATATATATATATATATATATATATATATATATATATATATATATATATATATATATATATATATATACATATATATATATTATATTTATATATATATCATACATATTATATAAAATTTCTACGAGGTTAGCATTACAATTCTAACCTTTTAACATGTTCATTTGCCATAAATAGGTTTATACTTATTATATGCAAGTAAATACATTTCTAATGTAAGTCTGAGATCAAGGAAAAACTGTTTGATTTTATTATCCTTATGGAAATTGGATTGACATCGGCTAATAGTCTCCAAAAGCATAAAATCTCAGGCTTAGGTACATATGATCGACCATAAAGCATCTACCTTGAACATTCTGTACACAAATTAGCAGCATCAGAAATATGGTCACATTTTTAAAACAATTTGTAGAATACCACCACAGATTTATTTTTCATACAATAAAAAATATATATGTATTTTGACTCCGATAATCCATCACATAAATTACAATATTTATGGCAAAATACGTCCCCATACAGTTGAACTGGAAACAGGTAAATATAAGCAGCAGAGAACTTGAAGACGCTCAGCTAGCAGAGCCTCCGCCAGACAGCTCTTCCTCGTACTGTTTCCTGAAGCAGTCGCCAACGGGGAAGAAGTCCCAGCACCGCTGCTGGTACATATTCCACACATATGTCTCCTGTCCAGTGTACTCCGTCTCATCTTTGTTGATCAGATGCATTAAGAAAAACCTGAAAGAAAGAGGCAGTTTACTATCTTCTCTCTAATAGTTTGGAGAAGCTTAATTTGCATCCACCCTTGGTTGGCAATGTTATGTATTTATTGTTTAATACAAAGAACACAATATTATCTGCAGCAAGAGACATAATTATAGGCAAGACAAGTTACTCTGCTCCTACTCCTGATGCTTCTCACACAGCACCCAACTCCTCACTCTATCACACTCCTCTTATTACAAAACTTTATTACAAAACACGTGATAAAAAAAATTAAATGAAGAAATTTCATTAGAAATCTATATTTGTGATAACATATTAATTACCAGAAATGATAAGTAGCTAGAATTCTGTATTATTGAAATACAATGATTCAGCACTCGTCATTATATACCGTATCATTATAACCGAATGAATAACTACAGCTCATAAAAATTGTCATCCACACATCCGTGGAAATAAACATTCCATTCACCTGAGCTGTAAGGGTCTCGATCCGTGGACCCCACGTGTGTGAGGCAGCTCATAGCCCAGACATAGGACTGCTCATAGCCTAGTTGATAGAGCATCGGCCCCACACGCGTGGGGTCCACGGATCGAGACCCCATACAGTCCAGGTGAATGGAATGTAACTACAGCTGCATCGAGTGCAATGTTCAATAAGTTTGACTTAGGTCTCCCACTCAGTGGCTCTATACAGCTTATGCACTGTTGCTCTAGAACAAATACCATCGGACTAGATGTCTCAGACTTCGTCATTGCCTACCAGAGACCTGGACCTGGAGTCACGAAGCGTCATGTATTTCTTCTTATGTCGCTGTATTAACAAGGTTCTTAAGCACTGTCAGGAGACCCTAACGCACGCATCATGAAGTTGATTGTATACAGTTATGTGCAATTTTGATGTAGTTAACTTAATTCACGATAGATGTCACTAGTGTTTTTCGTTTGGCCAATCAGAGAAAAGGTAACACTGTTCATCTTATTGTTTAGCCAATCACATTCTCGGCTCAGGTGAAGAAGTGACCAATCGCATATGTTTGTCCACAGACCGGCTATTATGGTAGTCTCAATGAAAGTATATTTCGTTTATATTTAGGCCAAATAGCATATAAAACGTTAAATATTAATTAACGGATATGTAATCAACATTGATTCTTGTTACATCGCTGATGACCAAACCAAGGCTTTAGTGGGAAGCCTCGGGAAGCCTCGAGGGTTCAGTAGAACCTCAGGTTCTTTTGACCATGTCATGGCCTAGTCATCAAGAGTGTGTGCCTGGGAACACCCAGTGAATAGGTTCGAATCTTCATTACATCTAGTGTTAATTTTCTCACCAAGCTGTTTATTTGGTCATCAGTCATTATTAAGTTCAATGTGCCATACGACTTGATAATGGTTCAGGACAGACCGTAACGCTTCTCCGTCTTCTGGTGTATGGTGTGGTCATCATACCTTCAGCCTCGTTATTGTGACACATCGTCTGCTTGTTACTTCGCTGCTTCCATCGATTGGTCGTCACCTGCCACTTATTTACATCTTATTTTCTTATAAAATGAGTTTATTTCGAAGTATAATTATGTTTTTTTTAGGTTGAACAGTCAGCACCAATGTTGTAGTAAACACACATGTTACATTGTTTATGTGTCAACATAATTATAAAAGAGATTGTGTAGATTCATTGGCAATGTGTAACTGAACTGAAGCCAAGAAACCCTCATTAAAACGTGAATATCTTCTCTGCTCTCTGAAAACTTATATTCCCTATGGTGGATTCATAATAACTGTTATAAATCCGTCGTCTTGATGGCATATAAAACTTTAAGCATTACTAGCACATTTACTAGCGCAGAATTTATCAGTGTTGGGTTCAGCGCCCGGTGGGCTGAGCGAGTCACGCTGACACACTGTACATATATTTTTGCTTAAACTTTAAATGTATGAGAAAGGATTCCTTTCTCTAACAGCTTGTGGTGGAGCCCACACATGGTAGCAGCATTCTAGATCTTATGCTAACAGCAGAAGAGGATGGATGACACATGTAGTAAAAAGAACTTTGATAACTAAGTAAGTAATTATCACAAGAAGGCACCAAGCCGGGAAGGCTATGTAGCACCATCAAATGTGCGGATAATCAGAGGGCGCTAAATATCACCAAGGATGCCAATTCGAGAACAGAAACGCATAAGGCGAACAATATCAAAAGGTTACCGATTCACCAAGAATTCTATCGAGGGACAAGTGACCGCGAGGGACGGTCGGGAAGCAAGACACGCTCGCCCTGGAAGTCAGGACATTCAACAAGAATATGCACGACCGTAAATGGGACAGTGCAGTTTGGACAATAAGGAGCAGGGCGGCGCTCCATTAAGTGCTCATAAGTTAAACGTGTATGGCCAATACACAACCTTGCCAGAGCCGTTTCCCACTGCCGATTACAGTGGTAGGAGGAAGGCCACGTGGACACACTACTCTTCAGAACATGCAGTTTGTTACCAGTAACGGAAGACCAATGACCCTGCCGATAGGCAAGAATCAAGAGATGAATACCTGAGTAAAAGTCGGAATAAGGAATACCTTTATGGGAGATGGGACAGTTAAGGATAGCTTCCTTAGCGGTAGCATCTGCACGCTCATTTAAGGACACACCAGTATGGCTGGGAACCCAGCAAAACTCCTCTGTCTTAAATCTACTGGAGATAAGAAACAGCCAATGTTGAATTTTGACTACTACCGGATGGACTAGCTTACGTGACTCCAGAGCCATGAGGGCACTGCGAGAGTCAACAACAACAACAAAGGAGGATTGACAGGAAGAAAGCAGCTGACGAAGAGCATATAGAATAGCATAAAGTTCTGCCGTGAAGAGGCTAGTCTCCGGAGGCAGGCGACACATATAGGTGTGGTGAGGAAAAACAACAGAGTAGCCTACACCGTCTGGAGACTTAGACCCGTCGGTGAAGACGGGAATGAAGCGGGAGTGTGAAGAAAAGTGTTCAAGGAAAAGGCGTTTCAGGACTGGAGGAGGGGTAAAAGCTTCAGTTACGTGGGTCAAGGTTTTAAAAAATTTAGGAAGGAAGACCCTCCACGGCGGCAAAGACGGAACGACACGAGGGGAAATATTGGTAGGTTATCTTGAGATGATTTCGGGGCTTTAGTGTCCCCGCGGCCCGGTCCTCGACCAGGCCTCCACCCCCAGGAAGCAGCCCGTGACCGTGACAGCTAACTAACTACCAGGTACCTATTTACTGCTAGGTAACAGGGGCATTTAGGGTGAAAGAAACTTTGCCCATTTGTTTCTGCCTCGTGCGGGAATCGAACCCGCGCCACAGAATTACGAGTCCTGCGCGCTATCCACCAGGCTACGAGGCCCCGTACCAGGCTACGAGGCCCCGTAACACGAACCGAAAGAGCATTTTGTACACGAGACCACCACATGGAAAGAAGTAGGTGGTGAAGGTGAACAGGAACCACAGGAGGGATAAAAGTCAAGGAACGACATAAGCAAGAGTAAGGGTGTTGTAAGGACCATGTAAGGTAGCGAAGACAGTAACGATCACGGCAAACTTGTAGAGACAGGACGCCAGTTTCAACATACAGGCTTAGGGTAGGAGTTGAACGAAAGAAACCAGAGTTAAGGCGTAACCCAATGTGGTACAGAGCGTCAAGACGGCAAAGAGTAGAAGGAGAAGCAGAAGAGTAAGCAGGGCAACCATAATCGGGCTTAGACAGAACGAGAGAGGAATGTAAAGAGAGGAGCCCATCAGGTCCCCAAGAAGTATGGGACAAGACCTTAAGTAAGTTAAGGGCCTTAGAGCATTCAACTCAGAGGTAAGAGATCTGGAGCGACCAAGACAAACAATTGTCAAAGATTAGTCTCAAAAACTAGGTAGAATCTTTGTTCAAAATGGGATGACCATAAAGGGGAACGAAGAAAGTTCTGATCCCGAGTAAAAGTCATACCATAAGTTTAAGTTGTAGAGAATTTGAAACTATGATTGGTGGCCCAAGACGACACGGCATCAATTGCAAGTTGAAGCTGCCGTTAAAGGAAAGGCAAACCATCACCTCGACAGCAGAGGGTAAGATCGCCGAAATAGAGGGCGGAAAAGATGCCAGAAGGAAGGGAGGAAAGAAGACTATTGAGGGCAATCAGGAAAATAGTGCTCAGAACTGTTGTCTTGTGTTTGGCCTTATTTATTTGTTTATTAAGTGGCAGGCTTTTCTGTTTATATATTACTTTGTTGGGTTTATTGCTCATTACTCTCTTTACGAGTGAGTTTGTCAGTTAATTTGCATGTTTCATGGTTTTCAGTCCACTTGAGCTGTGGTTTCCCGGTTAATCTCACTGGCGTGGTGCTTAGTGAAGGCTGCGCTCCGACAGTTATCTTCTCTAACGCAGACGATTCCTCTCAGGGATTTACTTGTCTCAAGTCATTAATTATCACTCGAAGGTCGTCCCGGTAGTACAGTCGGGTTCATTCTCCACTCACAATCGAGAATTCTGGGTTCGAGTTCCAGGCGGGACAGAAATGGTCGGGTTCATTTCCTCTCGCCTAGTGGGCCTGTTCACCTAGCAGTACGTTGGTACTCGGGAGTTATTCAGCCTTTTGTGGGGCTGCATCCTGGGGAGGGGTCAATAATTCGACCTTGGGGGGGGGACTTTGATATAAGCCTTACTCATATACACTGGCTGCCTGTCCCACGACACATAGAATTATTAAAATTATCACAGGTGGCATTTTGTGACTCAGAACATTGTAAAAACATTTCAGTCACCTGAGGTTGAGTACTCAACAACCCACTACACCACCCCACTGCAGGGGCCTGACAGCTGAGTGGACAGCGCTTCGGATTCATAGTCCAGAGGTTCCGGGTTCGATCCCCGGCAGAGGCAGAAACAAATGGGCAGAGTTTCTTTCACCCTGATGCAACTGTTCACCTAGCAGTAAATAGGTACCTGGGAGTTAGACAGCTGCTACGGCCCCTTCCTGGGGGTGTATAACAAAAGAAGG